TCGGAGAATTCGTTTTGTGCGTATCTGTGCTGTTTTTGAGGTTGTGCACAGCAACAGATCGATGGTACCCGTCGTTTCAGGTATTACGGCTTGCTTGTCACGAAAAGCTATTTAAGATATTTGCAAAGATGATGTTGATAGATGTAGGCATGAAATCGAATCCAAATAATTCTCTATGAGATTAGTTATTGTTTGTGAATTGCAAACTGATTGGAAATGACACAAGAAAGCGCAAACGCTTGTCAATTATGTACTCAACGAACTTGGAATCTCAATTGTTCACTAGTCCTATCGTTGCACCGCAGCGATGTGTTCAGTTTGATTAGTAATCTTGAGTAGAGGTGTCAGCCGTACGGCTGAGCCGCCGCAGCAGCCGATTTTTCAATAATATCAGCCGCCGCAGCCACCAAATTAGTAGTAATTTTTAAAATTTTGGGGGAGCCGCCGCTGCAAGAGATAAAAATTTTTGATAGCGTTCTTTTCCGCCGCTGACATCAATACATATGCGATCGAATCGAACATCTTTCTTTTAATTTTCGTCAGTGAATTTTTAACTGAGCCGTCACCGCCACATAAGGACTTACAAATATCAGCCGACGCCGCCGCTGTGAAAAAAATTTTAAGAATTTATAGCAGCCGCCGCTGAAGACATTACTCATTGTGCCGATATTGATGGTACGCTTCGATGATTCTCCTTCCTTCTCTTTCTGTTCTCTTTTCATTGTTCTAATGTATCTCTCTCCTATATATACGTGCGCCATGTATGAAGTTGTTACACTCTGGAGATGTCAGATGACATAATACACCATCATGCCGACGGGCATAGACGATACTCTCTAGTTTTGTCGTTACACTCTGGATAACTTGAAGTAGCCTAATAAACATCTTTGCCGAGAGTGGCACAAGCTAATCTAATCAAGTTGTTCGTTACACTCATTCAAATAACGAGCCGCTGGAAATCTTCAAAAATTGAAAACTGTTGCCCGCCGTCGCCGTTCAACCCTTCGGCTGACACCTCTAATCATAACTCCCACTAATATAATCTGATTCCACGATCGACTCCTGGTCTAACGCAAAATCCAGAGCTATTTATGATTACCCAGCGCATGATAAACTTGCTATATACGCATACTATATTGTTCGTTCATGCAACTCGACATAGTTTAAAACTCGTTACACACGAGTTTACTCTGTCTGACAAGACCGAAAGCATCATTTCAAATCACCAACAAACGCTTTTGCGGACACCAGAATCTTGCTTACACATAATATTAATTATTTTATCTGCCACTAAATCGTTTTTGGATATCACTCAGAATCCTGTTTCATGAAGGAAATGTACGTTCGAACGAGCTAAAATGATTATCTAAACGATTCTCTATGTCTCAGTGAATTTCTCGATGCGTCGAGGTTGAGCTGTGGAGTGATTTTCTTATAATTTTTATGCAAGAAAATGATTGATTTCACAGGTTTAGAATGTTATTAATTGATGGAAAAGTAAGTGGTGATGATCCAGAATGATATTCAGATGCATTATCCATGAATTAATAATTATTTCGATGGGTGCAAAATGATGTATTGAAGCAATATTTCGTTAATGTTAATGCAACAAGATGACTCATGTAAGAGGTTTAGAATATTATTAGGTGATGGATAAGTGGATGGCGATGGTTCAGAATGACAGTACGATGTATTTTCAATGATGAATGCAATTTTACGGTGGGTGCAAAATGATTTATGTAGCGCTGTTTTCAAGAATTGAAATGGTACAAGATGACCCGCGAAACGGGTTTAGAATCTTGTTTAATGAATAAGAAGTATGGTATCATGGTTCTGCATTATTTTAAGCGTGTTTATTGTGAGCCCAGCTATTGATCGATTTGGGTTGCAATGTTGTTCAAGGTGGTTGCTATTGGTGAAAATCCTTATTGTGCAATCTCTTTTGGTGATATTAGGGCTATGTGGGATTATTCATGAGGCTTAGTTTTGTCGGCTGGTACGCGTTTTCGGAAGACTACAGATTATTCACCTTCTGATTGAGGAATGCTTGTATGAGGGCTTTTGTATGAGGACCTGGTCATCGGAATCTGATGGACTCCGGTCAAAGTTGTTATGAAGTCCTTAGGAACTCAGCATCATCCGCAGTCGGGGTCGATTGGTTTCGACAATGTTTGGCTGTATTATCCGGCAGGAAACGACCGGACCATTTTCCTTTGAATTCCGGCCCGGATTTCGGGAGCAGAGGTTCCGGCAAAATCCCTGCCTGACCCTGGCAGATTTCAGTGGTAAACATGCCGGCTTCTGGAGTGATCCGGTGCCGGTTCCGATGAGTTCCGGCAGTATCGAGTGCCTCGGGTAGTGCTAGTCGTCACCGAGTTGAGAGCGAAGTGATGTATCTTCTTTGAGCTGACAAGCTGAAATCCTCAGCATGAGCGTTTGAAACGAAAAAATGAACATTTAAACTTAAATTAAACAAAATTCAAATGTCAAATTTACTATATGTATAATAGTCCGGTCAATCGATCATGTTCGTGCCTCAGAGTTATTCATAGATGATCTTTGATAGATTTCTTTGTAAAAGATGCGGCACCTTCAAACAGTGGTAATAAATGTAATAAGCTCTTCAAGGCAATCACACTAAGAGTCGAAATATGAGCTGTTATAAAAAAAAGAACAGAAATATATTGCTCGTAATTGCACAACTATTTCTGAGCAGCAGAAATTCTTCTATTTATTTCTGTATGCTGGGGCCTCACAAATGTTCTATTCTTTATTGTTACTGAAAGAGTACTTACGATAAATTTCAAGGTTTTTTTCCTTCCTTCTTCTCTCTCTCTGAATCTATCGAAAAAGAATGAAAAAAGAACCTTCTAGAAGTAACTGTCAGCAAAAAAGTTCACTTCACTTGCCAGATAGCCTAAACGTGCGCAGAAAACGTACAAACAGTTTTTATTTTGTCTTTTGCATACTATTCACAGGTAAGGAAGAGCCAAATTTCCAAGTAAAAAATGTTGCGCTCCTTCTATTAAAAGCGCAATAACATGTTAGAAATCTATTCTAAATAACAATAATTAGGCCATGAGATTGTAAACAGCAGTATGCACTCCTAATGTATGTGTTGACTCAATATCTACCAGATTTATTTGAATAGATATTTGAGTATATGGTTGCTCGTACTGTGTTCGTTTCTGCGAACGGTGAGCGATTTGACGATCTAATACTAGGATGTGAGTGCGGATGTAGCAGTAGTGTCAAACTTCAAACTTCAGTTCAATTGAAAATTGAAATTTTTAGCTTTCAATTTTCGACTGATAGCCATATTTGTGTGAGTCACGCTTCTTCAGAATGCTATTGGTTTAAAAGTTAAAAGTTGGAAATTGAAATCTTCAATTGAATTCAAGTTTCAAGTTTGGCATATATGGGATGTAACTGAATATCAGAACTACTTATGCATCTACACCAAGGGGGAAACGGCGGACTTTTGGACTTGAAGTTACTTTGAGCTACTTTAAGCTACTTCAAGTTACTTTCAGCTACCTGAAGTAGCTTACTTTGAAGCACTTTTCCACTTTAAATTTACCTGAAGTTACTTCAAGTTACTTCAAGCTACTTCTTCCTACTTTGGGCTACTTGGTGGTACTTTGAGCTACTTCAGGTAGTCTACTTTGACGTACTTTGCCGTACTTTTCTACTTCAAGTCCGCCGTTTCCCCCTTGATCTACACCCACATCCACAAATTTTGGCAAATTTTTACTTATGTCACATACATAATATAACAACACTACAGAGGCATTTTGTGGAAATGGAGCTCGGGAGAGTTCACTACACTACTCCTCGAAAGGCGTCACACCTGAAACCTTCAAGGTACAGGTTGTGGTTGACACAGCTGCTCCTGTTGAGTTGAAGCGGTTTTTGGATATAACGGTAGTCAGACCATTTATGCGTTTCAAAAAGCCCACCAACTCCGCGGTTCATGGCGGTTTCAGAGATACGCATAGATGGCCTGACTTTCGCTGTTTTCAAACTCGGTGATTGCCGCGGCTTTTCGAAAAAACGTTTTCCGTAGGTATAGTCAGATTAACAGTTCATAAAGAATTCCACTGAACATAATCCATTTAGTATGATAGAACACGTTAAACATTCTGTTTCAATGTGTTTTACTGGTGAATCTAATGTTTCTGATATATAATATTATTATCAAACAGTTTTCAGCCATAAGGAACATAGTAGTTACTCAGTTTCAACCATGTAGTCACTTGTCTCGTTCCCAAGCACAATTCAGAAAATTATTATATTCAGTTTTTGTTTAATACAACAGTTCGAAAGAAAAGAAAAGTTATACGATAATGCCGTTTACGAATTGTAGTAAACTAAAATGATTACTAGTGACCCATATTACGTCATAGTATGCAGGGTGATTCGTAAACAATATAATCTTACCACTTTGTTTCTGTTGATTTATTGCATCATAGGTAAAATGAATCTGAATTTTCTGTATTATTAATAGTGTGTAATAATGACGAAACGAGAAAAATTGACTAGCTATGAGTGAGTGACTACTGCTTCTTTCCATTCCTATATCTATCGTTATCTTAATTTCTCTCTCTCTCTCTCTCTCTCTCTCTCTCTCTCTCTCTCTCAATCGTCATGCCTTCTATTCTTCTCTAAAGTTAAATGTCGCCGTGCGTATACTTTTATTTTTGACTGTGTGACTCTTATTTTTTGAGTTATCTTACTCGATCTATCCATTCCTGATATATTTTTTCTTTGCATTATCAACCCGGTCTACAGAGACAATAGCGATGAATATTAATAAAAGAGTTCTTGTTTCGTTTTATCCTTTTTCTTTGAGTTTTTCGTCAGTGCTTTGCCAAGCGTCTCAATCGTTTACCCTATTATGTTCTTATAAATATTGAGTTGAAGGAAGCAGTGTTGATAGAGAAAAAAGACGCAGTGATTACCTTTGATTTGTTTTTCATTCTAGTTATTCGATTACAAATATGGGTGATGGGTTTAGAATCCAGCGTTTTATTGATGCTGGAGAAGAACCCAGTAAACTGCTAATACCAATCGAAGGCTACGAGAAGAAAGATTTAGTATCACTCAAAGAAGCTATTGAGCCAATAAAAAATTTGTTGCATAATACTGATCGAATGGTAGATATAGCTTTGCAGAACTCCAACGAGCCACCAGATGGTATCACCACTGATGAATCAGCCGCTATTCATATTTACACGATACAATGGCCTGACACGCATGATAGCCTGTACAAGCTTCTCAATCGAGCGCTACGTGATGAGAGACGAAACGAACTGAAACCATGGTTCTCCTACCTCAAACTTATTCTTACCGCTCTGTACAAGTTACCACCCATCAAGAAAACACTTTGGCGCGCTGTTCGCGGTAATATGAATAATGAATACAAAGAATATAAAATATGGTGGGGATTCAGTTCATGCACAGAAAGCAGGAATGTGGCGGACCAGTTTCTAAAAAGCTCGGAAGAATGCACTCTTTTTAAGATAGAATGTATCAATGGCCGCTGCATCGAATCATATTCTTATTTCAAAGAAGAGAAAGAAATACTTCTGATGCCTGGCACTTATCTACGGATCTTGGAAAAACGGACTGAAGCTAATGGTTTGCATATAATAGAATTACTAGAAACAAAACCGCCATATCAGCTCATTGCACCACCTTTTACAAGTGAGGCTTTTCATTCTATTCTTCCATAGATAGGCATGTATCAATACTAAAACTCTGAGATGTTCGGTTTGGATTTCTCACTGTATAATAATTAGGGCTGATAACTTACCAATGTTAGCAACCAAACATACGACAGGCCATACTCAACTTCATGTTGGAATCTGATAGATTGAGGGCTTTTCTATTGTTCAATCACGTTCGAAGAAGCAGGTTTATTGATTATTTTCAGAACATAACACGCTATTCCTGGACTCGCATGGAAGAAGACTTACATTAATCCCAAAATCGGACCGAAAACATCACGCTGTGCCCTTAAAATAGCAGAGAAAATCCAAAGTGAAATCTAATTGATGGGTGCGAGATGGGAGTGTGGGTGGAAGTACGTGTCGATCAAGAAAAAGCTCGCACATTCATTCCCAGAATGCACGAATTGCACTCACTCACATTGATGCTCAGATTCACTAACCTACATCTTTGCATAATGAGTAATATAGATTCAAAGAAGATCGGCTCGATTTTTTAAACAGCACAAAACCAATACTGACCTTGCCCATAATACGCATTAAGTTGAAAAGATCTTTCTGAATTTTATTATCTTTGTCATTTTATCCTATCATCTCCACGTATTCAATCTTCCCATCAATTTAAATTCTTTCATCATTGATATACATGCATTAAACTTACTTCAGCATGATTGCTCATTTGGTACTTCATTCAGTCTTTTTCTCTTCTGTAGTTCGTGACGATAGTTGCTGATTGGAGAAAAACGATCACTCGTTACACTTACTCTTAATAAATACTTGATGCCTATAAGTCGAAAAAAATGCACATAGACTACTGTATCCGTTAGATTTGTTTAATATGTTCATACATTTTAGAGATTATTCGAAAAGATGATGCACCTACAACGCATGAGATCTATACATTGAGATACTTTTTAAAAATGATTGTTTTTTGCCTAAAATCAGGCTCTGCAATATTATCGATATAAGATAGAAGAAAAAGAAAAATAATACTCTTGCCGTTTGACTACCTTGTAGTATAGGGTGCTGTCCGGAGACAATTTCAAAGGCCGGATTCGTTTCCTACAACTATTATTACTTGTAGCTATGGACAAAATACTAGCCTGGTTTAGACTTCGTCTGCTCGATGTGCTCTCCGCACATACTGACTAATCACATACTAGCGACAAGGACTGGTCTTTGCCACAATGCAGCCAGTAAGCTATAGTATGGGTCACCCGAGATAAATAGCCGCTGGTAACTTATTCAAGATCATTATATACCTGACGGCATCGAGCTTCGAACACAGTATCTGATAGTATATGCCAAAGAATTTAACTATTCAGTCATAGCGACTTCGGCATTAGGTAACTACGAGTTGCAAGATTTTTTTCGCAGTCCTAATTGATTCGAAAATGAAGCAAACTTTTACAAGAATCGTCAGAATTAAAGGGTGTGAATGTGATTGGTTATATACGAAGGAGAGAGTGGCATTCATATTCACACCCAGTTTAATATTTCCCACAATTTTGCCAAAAAAAGATTCAAAATATGCATGATACAGGAAATATTATGTTTTAGGCATAATCAAGCGTTATGGAATTCCGTTTTTTTCACATTGTGATACTTGTAGCGTTTCAAAAATAAAATAAACTTGCTTTTTTTTATCATAAATAGAAACCATTTAGATCTGAAATCGGTGAAAATTTCTGCCATTTTCTTCCAACCAGTTCTGAGATCTTCTGAAATGGATTTGTTTTTAGGGAGCCCTAATAGTTTAGCATTTTAATTTGAACTGAAATGGCCTAAGAACAGATGTAGTCGCTACAAGTCTTTAGAATATAGACTCATTTCTTAACAATCAGAACTCCAATGAATTGCGAAACTAAGATCGCTACTTGTCACGAAGTTTGATCTCTTTTTGACGATTCGATGAAGAACATTTAATACTTCAAAATCATCATGATGAAACAGTAATGAGATCTTTTTTTCAAATACTCGAAAAATGTAGAGAAAGTTTTCATTATTCACCTAGTTCACTTTTGTTGTCTTAATGAAATCAAAGTAAAAACTTCTAATCATCTTTAAACAGAATTGCAAGTGTAACACAACTATTCAATTATAATTCTTGCTTAAAATTAATAAATTAGTCTAATTTTGGTATTCATCGTGCTAGCAAGGAGGAATCTATCACACTACGCAGTTAATTACCTAAGAGTTTATCGCGTGTCTAGTAATGTACCGGCAATCTAGTTTCGATTATAGAAACTGTTTTTCATTATTTTTGTAAATTTGAATCTTCCTTTTAAAAGGGTGACCGATTGATTGTTTTGCTAGTCTCAAATGACATAATATGATAAAAAAAGTATTTTTATTCGCTAGGAGCGCAGCTATTGGCATGCATAGGTCATGAAAAGTGTTTTTGCAATTTAGATCCGCTACTAGATTTCGAATTCATACCTGCTCAGGACCTCGTGCGGGAAGAGGAAATTGGTCGTGGAGGCTTTGGGGTAGTTCATCGTGCTCGATGGTTAAGTCACAACCGGATAGTTGCTGTCAAAACGTTGCATCTTACACACTTGGACAAACAAGCCGAAAAGGAATTCTTCAAAGAACTTTCATTGATGCATAGTATTAGCTATCATCATATCGTAACTTTCTATGGCGCATGTACTGAAATTGGAAAGTATGCATTGGTGATGGAATACATGTCACTCGGATCACTGTACAAACTTCTTCACAAGGATAAACTAGTATTAGATTGGTCTGAACGATTATCCATCGCTTTGCAAGCAGCCAACGCCATCAACCATCTACATAAACTACAACAACCCATCTTGCATCGTGATATCAAGTCGCTGAATTTTTTGTTGGAGAAGTCCTATCAAGAGTATATTGTGAAGGTATGCGACTTTGGTTTAGCTCAAACACGAAGTGAAACAACACGACAGACGAAACATAATTATATGATAGCCTGTACATTGCAATGGACTGCTCCTGAAATACTGCGTTTAAAAAAGTATACTGATAAAAGTGATGTTTACAGCTTAGGAATCGTTTATTGGGAACTAGCTGCAAATGAAATACCTTATGATGGCTACCCAAATGATATCATTTCTGATTATGTGCGTCGTGGTGAACGTTTAGAGATACCCGACGATACACCACTACAATTTTCTGCTGTGATCACAAAATGTTGGGCGAATGATCCTGATGACCGACCGCCTTGCTCTCAATTAATTGTACTCATCGAAGAATGTAATAGAAAGCAAAGTAATTTATTTTCCTTTTTGTTATCTTCTTTGATTGAGTGAGATAGATCTGGACTAAGTATTCAAGAAAATCGAAGAGCTAGGTAGATTGTCTTGTAATATTCGGTTGCTATGGATGTGTTAAAATTTCCTGAATGAGAATATGTACGAGAAAGAACCATAGAACGTGTGCCATCGACTAAAGGAAAAAAAGCATGAAGCACCTTAGTCTGTTTTATCAGTCATACTACTTTCATTCTCTAGTATTTTATTCAGGTCGTATTTGTCAACGAAGAAACAGATAAATTCCTTGACTTCATTTAATGACAAACCACTGGAACAATAAAACAAATAGATTTTTGAAATGAGAAAAGTCATAATCGTCCAAATATTCTATCAATGATGTGACAAAGTGTGGTGCATTTTACTCAAGGCGGTAAGTGTTGGCACCTTGGCATCTCAGCGCCTGTCTAGCACTTTTCGGTGCTAGGTGCCACCACTTACCCCCTTGATTTTACTTCATTGAAAAAGCATTCAAAAACAACATCGCGAGAATCTGTATGAATGTGATGATTTCTGATAGAAGAAGTGCTTGCATTGATGGAACTTTGCTGTATTTCATTTCTTCGTATCATGATCGTACAGATTACACAAAAAGCACACATTTAAATACTCAACCATCCGAGTGAACGAAAGATAATGACAGTTAAGGACATCAAAGTGAATATAAAACATAGAGAAAGGACAAGATCCATGGTAAGGACAAAATAATAGTCACGCTTAACTTTGAGTGTGACAAATAGTTTTCTCTTCGTTTACACCCACACCATGCTATGAATTTTGAGTTAAAAACATTTATGTTAGCTAAATGAATATCCGCAATTTAGCCTCGCTTTTCATTATTTTTGATTTTGCATATATTGACCCGTCGCTGAGTGCAAATTAGAAGCTTTACATGATAGGATCTCCTAATTTTCAATGTCTCTACTCTTCTCGATAGAAAAGCTTGGCCATGTCGTAGATGATGATGTGTTAAAATTAGCTGAAAATGAAATAATACAAGTACTTCAATTAAAATATAATGACAGCAAAGACGAAATTGTTCATGATTTGATGGAAAATGGTCGGCAATCATTGTTCAAATATGAAGATGATCTTTTACCAGATATCTATACAGCAGCAATAGATGAAAAGGACAGTGACTTTATGAAAGCTCTAAAATATTATTTGGAACAACAATGGAAAATACGATATAGTTCAAATGAATGGTTTGTTTTATTTCTAAAACAAAATGAAGATAGTCAAAATTATCAATTTATTTTGAATCGTACAGCTGAATATGGAAATAAATATATGAAAAATTGTCCAATTTTGTCAATTGTCTTACAACTCTTATTCAAAGAGATTGATGACCAATGTTTAACCGAGTTAAATCTATTCAATGATCTATGGCTTACAATAACAAATCACGGCCTAAAATCAATAGAAAAATATTCTAATTATATTTCAAAGGATTTATTGAATACAATAATAGAAAAAAAAGAATTAGTATTATTTCAAGCCTTACGTGAGTATTATCGTCCACAATTATTTCAATTATTGGAAGAGAGTAACATTAAAAATACAGACAATTTGTATGAGTTAGCATTAAATAACGTTGCTGACTATGGTTGGTTAAAAGGTTTGCAGGAACTTCAAAACAAAATAATACCAAAATGCTTCAAAATATTATTAACGAAAATACGAGGTAAGGACGATAGCATAGCACTAATCGACTCAATAACAGTATCTTGCGATACATTCAGAAAGAAAGATAAGCTTAAGGAGAGGGGCAAATAAGAACGGAAATCGGCCCAGTCCCAATTCGAAGAAAAAAGTATAGGATGTTGTAAAACATTTTACGGCGAATCTTTTGGTAGCATGGGTTTTTTTATTCCATAGGGAATTTTAAGTTTTCTGATAACACGTAGTTTTACTCAATTTTCAGAAGAGCCTCACCTATGAGATACTGCAAAACATATGTTCATTAGACCGAAAATCGTCTCATACGAAAGTGTGCAAAATCCTGCCTAGCCCCATGCAAAAAATCATCCTGAGTCAAGGCTCTCATAGTAAACTTTGTCGGACTAGAGAGTGTCTTTTTTCGAAAATTTCCTATGGTGTATTACTTCATGTCTATATGACTCAGAAAAAGAACCGTTCACTGTCAGCTTGAACTATGCTAGCTAGATCGATATCATTTTTCAAGCTTTACACGATTGTGTAATTTTTATATTGAAATTTTATTGACCAAAAATATCCATAAGACTCATACTATGCAAAACCCTAAAATTTTGAGATGTTGGACTTTACATGGAACAGAAGGTATAGACAAATCATGATTACGAATGAACCCTCTTATACTTATATCGATGTAATGTTTCAAGCTCTACAAGATGATATAGTTCTGATTTTTTCATCGTTGTTTTTTCGAATTGAGGCGTAGGTATAGTATGGTATTATCATTGACAGGCATGCATTCTAAATGTAAGTTTATGCTGAATATGTAGGCAGTTTGGCTCGGATAGCAGTGGTTTAATGTGGCATAGCTTTTGATGTTTCTTCGCGAGCTGCAGTTATGCGCTAGTCTCATCGCATAATCTGGTTATTTAAGTAAGAGAAGATAGATATGTTTAGATAGGCGCGATGGCACTAATACTGTTTTACCATCTTGTTAACTGAGTCAATCAACGAAAATGTAAAAGGTTCTTGCCATTTCGTTAGTAAGAAGTGTATTTAGAAAAATAAAAGGAACCGCAATCGGTGAACAAAAACGAAATATGGTATCGCTTAATCGTCGTCACTCTGACTAGTGCTTGAATTATAAGATTCTTCGTCTGTTGAATCAACATCGGGGTACTCTGTAAATAAAAAAAGGTTTTCTAGGAAACTCAAAATAGGTTTCTGATAGTAAAAAACTCCGAAGCCCCTTAAGACTTCTCGAGACACGGTTTCCGAGACCTCGAAAACCAATGAACCAAATAAAAATTTCCTTCGGATACCAATGTTGGAAACGGATTAAAGGTTTCTGAGATCTCATTTTTTTCATTCTGTATCGAGAACCGCCGCATCGCTATAATCCAGATAGGTCGTACCGCACGGAGCATCCTATAGAAACGATTACAAAACGTGAGCGAAAGTCACGTTATCCTGCAGAAAGCCACGAGAATCGCTGGAAAATTTTCCGAGTTTTTCACATGATTTTCGACGAATGCTGTCAAAAAACACAGTAACTTGGTCGGAACTCACTCGGGAAAATCAGAAACGTTTCCCGCTGGATTCCTGTTTCCATGGTCAAACAATTTCCGGTGTTTTTTTTGTAGGATAAGCTGGCTTTCCCCAGGTTCATGCAGGATCCACCGAGGGCAACAATCGACCTGCAATGCTGCGTCTCAATAAAAATAAAATAGTTCATCAGGTTTTTACGTTTAAAATCGAACTCACCATCTTTACATGTTCATCGTATATTGTGTGATCGCGAAACTTGGTTGCTCAAGGATAACTTTTATGTCTGATTTCTTAAGATTTGACCGTGTAATTTTGTAGTAATACAGCAGCTATAATGATAACCTGAAGCCAGAATTTTTTAAGAGCAACTCTATATAATGTTTTTTGAAACGATTATGGTTCTATTGAGTTGAGTTTAGAGTTCAATTCAACGAAACAAAGTTAGAAGCAAGTTAATCTTTCATTAATAATATTTATTCATCTCTAAAATGTTAATAAAATATTGATCCTAAGATGTGCAAAATTGAGACTAGCTCAAGAATATAAAGATAGGATAACATTATTTTAAAAGTTTCAATAGCTTCAAATTTCGAAAAACTGATCCGTCATGAAGCAACTTATAAAAACAAAATATGGGAGTTCTATTGAATTAAAAATGTCAAAAAGTGGGAGTAAGTGAAGATCAACAACGAAAATTTGAACACAGAACATCGTCTTCTGTGATATTTCAAACTTTGATCAGGGCCTTGTTTGCAAAACATTGTGAAGATTTTTAAGACTGTTGAAATCTGTAACAAATTGAAAAAACCCGGAAACTGACTTCGGTTTTCCAGTATACTTTTTCGACACTGCGTATGCTCGAAAATGTAAAAGGTATTTTTAAAAACGCTTCAAGTTCTCGGAAACCTTTATAGATTTGCGAGCGGGTTTCCGAACTCGTTTGGGTTTTCTAGGAAACGTTTTTTTTAGAGAGCACTGAACGCAGTCTTAAACATTTTTGTGAATGAATACTCGCGGAAAGTTCATATTCAGTCGATTCTATTTCACCTCCACAGAACCCCAAATGCCTACATGCGAATATGGCTCGAACAAGGTCATCATATTGAGAACATAATCCTACCACGAATTTGAGTTATCCATCGTCTAGACGCTCTGGATTCAAGTATTCCACGATACAGCTTTTCACCTGTACTATCTGATTATTACCGAAGCAACTATTTTGTATATCTTGCATGTATACAGCGGTAAAAACTCATCATTTCAGCATTATACTTTTTCCAAGGTGGCTTCTTCTACTCTGCTTAGTATGAGTCTTATTGATATTTTTGACCAATAAAATTTCAATATAAAAACTACACCATAATGTAAAGCTTGAAAAATGACATCGATCTAGCTAGCGTAGTTCAAGCTGATAGTGAACGGTTCTATTTCTGAGTCATATAGACATGAAGTAATACACCATAGGAAATTTTCGAAAAAAGACACTCTCTAGTCCGACAAAGTTTACTGTGAGAGCCTTGACTCAGGATGATTTTTTGCATGGAGCTAGGGAGAATTTTGCACTCTTTCGTATGAGACCATTTTCGGTCTAATGAACACATGTTTTGCAGTATTTCATAGGTGAGGCTCTTCTGAAAATTGAGTAAAACTACGTGTTGTCGCAAAACTTAAAATCCCCTATGGAAGAAAAAAACTCATGGCACCAAAAGAGTCACCGTAAAATGTTTTACAACATCCTATACTTTTTTCTTCGAATTGGGACTCGGTCGATTTCCGTTCTTATGCGCTCCTCTCCTTGGATCAAAATGGGGGGGGGGAGGCCGCACTAATTTGTTATGCCATGATATTTAAGATGGCATTGTTATCATATTTACGAGTTGATTGTTTGGGGATTTGCAATGCCGGCTACAATCATCTTTTCTGTTCTATCTGAATTTGTCATCAAAATTCATTAAGGATAACAGCAAAGGATTCGGAATTCACAGAAAATTCAAAATTTCAATCTTTTCTCGGCCTATTCATGCAAACTCTAGGTAGCTTTTAGATGTGTAGCTTGCGTTAAAAAATGAACACAATCGACATCACTAGTTGTCAGGAGTTCGATATTTATGAACATTGAACATGCATTTTTGTGAACAGGGTTAAACCAATTACTATCAGTTTCTCCATTTTCTAATCAAAGTTTCCAATATTTCGAGTATTAATAACTATCGGACTCCCAGAAATTCTCAATGTTTAGAGCAAAAAAAAATTGACCATAGTTGACGCGAACACTCTGGAAATCATAAGATTGTTAATAAGATAGAAATGCTATTCTAAATATTGCATCTTAGATTGAAGGTTGACAAAACATGTATATGCTACTTACTGACAAGGTGTATGCATTCATTTTAGTTCTACCCAAAGTGGAAGCTCAGAAATCAGAAAAAGATCAATCATGTATCCTCGGTGAAGACACTCAGATCTCATGGAAGTTCAGTGGTATTGAGAAACCTCAAGTAACATGGTTTCTCAACGATCAACCCATTCCAACAAATGATCGCTTTCAAGTGACTGAGATTGATGATGGAACATCAGAGTTATCGATTCATCAAGCTGAACTTGCCGATCAAGGTATCTACACTGCTATGGCAACCAATTCTGTGGGCAAAGCGGAAGCAAAAATCACATTGTCCATCATCATCAAACCTATGATCACAGTTAATCTCGATGGTTCATTGCAAGCTATAAAAGAGGAAACTATGACGCTCAAGATCGTCGCGAGTGGAACACCTAAACCAGACATTGTGTGGATGAAAGGAAACAATGAAATCAAACCCAATGATCGTGTTCACAAAACAACAGAGGACCATGATGATAATTATATATACACACTGGTAATCTCGCATGTAGAACCAGAAGATCAAGGAGAGTATTCAGCCAAGATCTTCAATATTGGTGAATCGCTCGTATCCAATAAGTGCAAAGTCACTGTTTCGAGTACGTCATCTTGATCTTTCTTGTTCATTTATACATATGTTATTGTAGAACCACCAATATTTGTTGTCAAACCGACAGCACTAACAGTAAAACAAGACGAAAAAGCCTGTTTAAAGATACAGATCGATGGATATCCAACACCAAAGATCATTTGGCTTCTCAATGGCAAACAGTTGAAAGCGGAAGAAGGTGTTCAGATGCAGTTCAATCCTGTAACTAATGAAGCCATGTTGGTTATTGAAAACGTCGATCTCGAACAGCATGCTGGTTCAATTACTTGTCGTCTCGAGAATGAATATGGCAATGAAGAAGAAAGGGTTAAACTCGAGATTCTTGCTGCACCAATAATCACCGCGCGGTTGCCACAACAACGAGAGACTGTGACTGGACAAGATGTCACATTGAAAGTGGTCGCCAAAGGATCACCACGACCATCGGCTCAATGGTTTTTCAACGATCAACCTATTGTATCAGAGAATTTATCAGTAAACGAAGCGAATAATGAATATCAACTAGTGATCAAACGAGCAACAATTGAAAAGAATGAAGGAGCCTATCGAATCGTCTTGAAGAACGACGTTGGTGAAGTGCATTCGAATTCATGTGTAGTTACAGTACTGGAACCAGTAAAATTGAAACAAGTTGTACCAACATCGAATGAAGCTCAATTAAAGTGTGGCGAAACATTCGAGATCACTGTGGATGTGAGTGGAAAGGAAATACCGGAAGTTCGACTAATGAAAGATGGGGAAGCAATGCAGTTCACAAATGTGGAAACAACACGATACAAATTCGTAGTGGCTAATGTACAGCTGCAACATCAAGGTGTGTATATGGTGATAGCAAAGAACAAAACGTCAACTGAAGAAATGACTGTTACTCTTAATGTTACTGGTAAGTTTGCCTGTATTTCACAATCAATTGTTACAAGATATATACCTACTTGTATATTTTCATGAGTTGACGAACGCCTACTCGTCTTTAGTTACCATAGCATAATCCCACTGTTGTGTAGTTTTATCGTACACATGAAAACTACCGATCACGCTGTAACATCAAGCTAAATTCTGTTTCTACTAGTTTTTCATATATACTGACATGTGTGCATATTCTTTCTAAAGTTTCGTATTCGTAAACTGTTTTCGACCAGCATGATTATGATGTGTACGTCTTCGTATGAATGTGAAAATGAACTTTAATACGTTATACCTACATATGAAAGGTCACACAATCAATCAACCCCGTTATCAAAATTTTAATGCTAATGACAGCCTCATCCTGACAGAAGCCTATTTTTTCTATTACTATCAATAACTCTCGCCTATGGATTCAGTAAGCTACCAAATGATAGAATATTACAGGATTTGATTAAAACTGACCCAAAAAGCGATTGGAACATGAATAATAGTCTTTTAGTACAGATGCTTCGGTAATGACTATTCTAGACATTACTAAACTAAAAGAAATAACACAATCCAACAAAATTTTGGTGTTGGCGCGGGTGTATGCTTGACCCATTTTACGCATGTTCACACTCACACCCATATCCACACAAAAGTTTTAATTTGCATTAGATCTCGATGAAATTTCTTGAGAAGCTGTATTTCAAGTATAACATATTGCAGTAAAAATTTCAGCTCGATAATTGAGACTTCAAGAGTTAACTAGCGATTATAAGTAAAAATATAGGAGCCGTGCGTTTCAATTTTCTCAGTCATTTCAAATGTTTGGAAGCTCGAGTTAGTTATAAAATTTAGCCAACGGTGGGCTACAACTTACCAGGGGTCTCTTTTTCAATCTATTCCTTTTTTGGGTTTTGGAAAAATTCTTCCGCAAAATTCTGAAAAACTAGTAAGTTTTCTTCAGATCTTTTAGCTTTTAAAAAGGAACTACGATTATACTGGAAAATCGAACTCTGTTAAGCAATAGCGCTGCACTCAGCTGACTAGTGTTTAAATTGGCACAGGAATCTGGAAGACATGAAAGCATATAAACCAAAAATCCCACTTTCAGATAAACGCAAAATAAGTTCGACCACTGAAAATAAGGACTTTACTCTGTGCGTTGATCTAAAAATATTATAGGAACCATTTCCAATAAATCAACGATTAGAATGCATCAAATAAATGCGCTTAACGATTTACAAAAGGAATTGTTTTTGTTGACCCATGGGTCTATTACTCGATCAAAGTATCAATTAAAATCATCTAAATCGATATTCATCATGTAGAAATAATATGTTCATAGGATCTTAAATACTTCAAGGCATGTTATAGTCATCATGATTGGTAATTTTACGAAATAAAGTTTATGTTTAATCATGAATCTATGTATAGTAGTTTCGTTCAATTCTTGGATTTCTGAAGTCTTTTATTCATCTGTTACACTTGTATCTACATGATACTAAGCTCGATCAATATAAAAGGCTAAAAGAAAAGCCAGAAAAAATGTACAAGTCAGTTTTTGTTCTATATGAGGTTTCTCTAAAGCCTATGTAGTTTTCTGAAATCTTATCAGAAAATCAATAAACTATCGTGCAATCGATATTACACACTTAGGTCAATCTCACCAGCTATAAATGAGAAGATCAGCATATTTAACCAAAATGAACTTTTTTAGAGGGGGGGGGGCTTAAATCGCATTGCCCCACTTTATCTGAATGAACTGAACTATATTCGTTACTGGTACGAGATACTTAAAATCTCATAATTATAGTTCATATAGCCTAAAATTCAAAGGCAAGGTGAATTTTGTTTCCGATACGGCGTAATTCCTTCAAATACAAAGTCTGTTCAAATTTATTTTACCTTACGGACTAGATTAATTGAGTTCTTGATATTTTCTCTCCAAAAGTAGCGAAGAATTCACAATCACTTTGCTACTTAATCAAAATTTAAATGAACTATACTTCAACTTCCTAGAATGTTAGTGCAAAATAAATCAGGATCGAAAATTATCCTGCTTGCTTCTTCGTTTCTTTTTTTTACAGTCGTGTAAGCGGCTAAATTTATACAGTTAGTTTCCATATTCATAGCTAATATCAATACTGTAATCTTTGCCCAATAAATAGCAGAGTGGAAGATGTGCGAATGAAAAGAATAGTTTTCTAAGTCCTTGTATCTTCAACGCCATGCATCCGTGTCACACGTCTGTCAGTCATAAACGATTTCTATGGTGAATAGACATATGGCATTCTGAAATTTCCATATTCCTGGGAGGTATTTCATCAAATTCATCGTTTTTTTGTAGCAGTACGTTCATTACTTTAAACATTTCTCTGATTTAGATGCTGTATTCTGACTTTCTATAAGAGCAATACATGACGGCCAATTTCAAACTGGAAAATTGCACCTATATTTCAATGAGTTTTTCCATCGATACTATACTTCTTTCCATCTTCATCCACATAATCAAAATTATTTACACATAATTACAAAGAGCTGCCGAATTTATGTTTTTTCCTTTAAATCTTACACTGTATGGAACTGTTTGAATGTTTTGTCACTCGTGGATTGCATATATATTTCTTCCTTTCCTTTCATTTTATCGACTCTTCAAACTTCGTGAGGTTTTCGATTTCACACGTCCCTTCAATCCAATCCAATTTAATCTTAGCAGCCTTCGAGTATGCTTAAAACCAAAAATATTTCGATTGCTAACATCACTGTCATTCTTAGAATTTTCTATGTTTATTCAACTATAGAAATACTCATGCGATTCGAATCTCTTTTCTTTCTCTGATTTTTTTGTAAGGATTCTTTAAAATCTTTCAATCAAATGAATTTTTAGGCTTTCCCATTTCCCTAAAGTCCTCTAGTACTATGTATGTACAAAATGTCTCCAGTGTGTCGAAAGTCTTCGCGACATTTTAATTGTACTGTTTTTTTGCACTTACAATAAGTAAATCTTGCTAGTTGCAAAGAATTTTAGATAGTTCTATTAAATGTGGTCAGGATTTGTGTCTTGACGGGCGGTCGAACAGTGATAGGTTTCTACAAATATTGCGTACATAGGATGGTCACTACGATGGTATCATCGCTGTTTCAGTAGTGGGGATTTGATAGTTTCATTCTTACTCAGGATCTCTATAAAATTAGTTTGTTTTACTTAAAATCATTGTCACTGGAGAATATGGTTTTTCAGTTCTTCTTGATCCTTTTAAGCATGCACTGTTTTTCCATCTCTCATCTGTAAGTTTGATAGAAGCTATGTACCGCTTATTGACTCATATCATTTTTAGTTCACCACTATCCTTCTAAAAAATTTATTCGAAACTCATAACTTCTGCCTCTGACTGATTGTATAACTGTCTGATATTTTTATTTAGCACCCCAAGAATTTGCTGCACCTGGCACATGCGACGAACTCGATCGAGCTCAATTACATGCCAAATGGTCAACGGACATCAAATCATCTTGAAATGTCAGCTGAATATAGAATAAAGTAGACGAATACAACATTTGTCATGAACGACCATAAATTCTATGATTTGTCTATAATTAATCATAGTAGAAGTAGAGTTTGTAAGAAGAAAAATAGTTGAATAGCGTATTAAAGGTCGTCCTACTTATTCACTTTCTGTGTGA